CCGAAACCCCCCCCCCCCCCCCCCCCCCCGTTTTTTTTTTTTTGGATATGCAACTTGGATGTACTTCCTATCAGCCCAATAGAGGTGAAACATAGATGCTCAAATTGGAACAGTGTTTGTTGTTGGATACTCATATTTTTACTTTGATTCTGCTTTTTCTGAAGTATCCCTTTTGCCTTCTTTCTCGTTCATACAGTCGTTAATTCGTTAATCCTCGATATACTGAGTGCTATTTTTTATATGCAGGAAGGTGTACAACAGCTCGTGTTAGGTCTTTATATCATAAGAGGGGACAACATGTACGTACTTGGTTTGCTTCCCCGTCATATACTAAAAGAATGGACATGAGTTGCTTATAGTGATTAGCAAACAATAAGAATGCATTCCTTATGAGGTTCTTTTCCTTCATTGTTGCAGAAGTGTTGTTGGGGAATTAGATGAAGAGCTGGATGCAAACTTGGATATGTCGAAACTAAGAGCACATCCTTTAAAGCCAGTTGTTCATTGATCTGCATCTTGGCATGAGTTTGTAATGTTGGCTATGGCATGGATCAAACGTCGGTTACACAAGGAACTTTCGGTACAGTTCGTAGAATTAAATTCAGATGTGTTATGCGCCTTTGAACAAATACTTCTAGTCTGTGATTCACCATTGTATGCCTTTGGTTATGTTCTACTTTTGTGTAAGTTGCATTCGGTACATAGTCTTCCAGTTATGCTCTACTTTTGTCCCAAAACTGAGTCTGGTGGCTAGATCAAAATTTGATGGTTGATTCTCACAAGCCAAAGCATGGGCTTTCTCTGAAATATATGTGCTTCCTAAGTGACAAGTCCAAGAAAAAGAAAAAAATGTTAACTCCCATCTTCCCTCCTTGCGAAGGGTGTATAGGAAACAACCTCTCTACTCCCTTGGAGTATGGGTAGGGTCTGGGATTTTACTGGGTTGTTATTTTTGTTGTTGTCGTCGTCGTCGTCGTCCCATCTTCCCTCCTCCAGGTAACAGGTAATAGGGATTAAGGAGGGATCAGAGTGGGGCTGTACACAAAGGGAAACAGGCAAATAGGCTGATTTTCTGTTGTTTCTTTTTTGGTGTTTTTGGCCATCCGTGCATTAGATTGGCCGGAATTTGCTCCAGGTGAGCGACTTGGAAAGAGATTAGGGGAGGGAAGTAAATAGAGGTCTACAGAGGTACGGTGAGGTGAGTGCGACACGACGAGACAAGACAGCCGTTTTATCATTACAATAGGTGTCAAGTGGAAGTGCAGTGATGTATGCAGTTGAGGCATCCTAACAGACCGGTAGACTTGAACCTTGTTCCTACATGACCTGAACAATTTGATCAGGCACTCGCCATCTATTTTCATTATTCAAATCTTTGACAACACGAAAAAATCATTGTTTATCTCTTTGACAGCATAAAAAACCAAAAGCTCTGCCCTCCCTCTCTATCTATCCAAGGGATGGAAGGGCAGAGGCCTTTGGTGCCCCTCCAGTCAAGACTTGGAGCCCTTATATTTAACAGTTTGGTGTATTAAACTTCTGCTATACATAAAGTTTAGACGAAGAAAAAAAGTTAGTGTGTACATGTCTAGAAAGAAATAGTTCCATAACTTTGACATGTGACCTCTTACTTGGCCATACAGCAACTCTTACTGTTGCATCAAGAATTATTAACTTTTGGATGGATGTAGGAGCAATACAACGAAGGGCAAAGCAAAAGAGGCAAAAATGATAATATTGTTTCAAGTATATGGTTTTATGTTGTTTTTTGTGTTCAGAAAAGTTCGACGAATTTTGTTGAATCCAATACATGTGTAAATAATGATACTTGTTTCTAAAAAAATTAGAATTGTGTTATAAAAGCCAAAGCCAGATATTTACACCCATTTATGGTAGAAATGACACCACGGACTCCTATTCAGGAATTAGTCAATGCGTCCAATTTTAGTTTTTCAGTTTAATTTTTTGGACGAAAACGTCCTAAGTTGTCCTGAAGTTAAGATTTTTAGTTTAAAATTTCATGACAAAATAAGCACTGGCTAATCCCTAAATAGCATGCTTGAAAATGGTTATCTGTGCACTTGCCCCCATTTATGTAGTAACTTTTTAAACTTGAGAAACTACTTTTAATAATTAAACAAGAAGTTCAAACAACATTTAACCAATTTCAGGGAACTCCAAAATTCACCAGTTCATTTCTTACACTGCTAAACATGTTGAGAACTGTCTAAGCCCCTTAGAAAGCACTTATTTATGAAAATGTTGTTTAAGACATGCTATACATACCGAGAAAGGAGAGGAGGGGACAGTGTCGTCAAAGAACTTTTCGGCGATAAGGCCAACACCTTAGTACCTTGCCTACTTTAAAGCGCAACCTAAATAAGGCGAAGCGCGTATCTTGAACTTCTCTGAGCTTAAGCGCGTCTCAAATGTACAATTTACTATGAGCTCATTTAGTCATTTTGCTTAGAGGTTCTAGAGTTTGTCCCTATTTAAATGCTAGCATCAAGAACGAAGACATCTTTGATCTTGAAAGGATCACATCATATTTGGTGAAAAAGAATCAATATAGCATCTACTACTACTACTACAAAAAAAAAGAAGAGAATTCACTTCAAATAATTACATCTCTACTAGGCAGCATGTGAAATCCCCGGCCCAAAATACGATTAATCCACTTTGGCTACATGAATTCTTAGTAGTTTACTGGATAAATTGAGTTTTCGGGCATTCCGGGCCCGCCCACCAAGCCAGTTGACATAGGCAGATTATAATCATCTAGTTTCAGCTGGTATCATTAAAATGAGCACTTCTTTAAATGCTAATGAGGTGTAGCAACACCTATTACTTCAACAATCAACATGACCATACCCATTCTAGTACCCAATAGTTTTGAGAGACTTCTATACATGGATAGATACCTATTATAATAATTGTTCTTGAAGAGGGAGATGATACATAAATAGAATAAATATTTAATGAAGATAAATTATATTTTAAGACATAAATAAAGGTAAAATAGTAAAAATTCCCTTTTAATTAATATTTTTCAAGGGCCGTGTTAAAGAGAAAAATGACAGATAACTTAAGACGGATGAAGTAATTCATGATGGCAATGTTATTTAAGCATCAAATTCCTCAAATATTTCCAGCATGAGCTAGATTCAAGCCTTTAGTTCTAATGTGTATGTTTACTTAGGGTTTGATAAACAAATATAGCTGACAGTGTGTGTTGGATATTGGGTCATGGATAGTCCATATGGATTGACCCGACCTGTTGGAAAAGATAAGGCTAAAGGGAAGTTACACAAAGATAAGATAGATTAAACACAACTCCCTCCTTCCTCTTCAATAACCACACAAGGATAAAAGGATACTTAGTGCATGAATTCTAACTTGGTTTCCAAAGAGATTTAAAGTTTTGACTTAGGGCAATTTCTATAGTGGTGAATTCAACCATTCTTACGTCGTGCAAAAAAGTGTTAATGAAAATACAATTGCAGTTGATAAATATAATGAAGAAAATAAAATTTCTTCATGCTGAGGTGCGGATATCTCACTCTCTTTAAGGAAATTCAAGTTCACTACAACAAAGTCTTCATTATCCAACATTAATCCTCTTGACTTGTCTCCCTCCAAGATACAACGGTCCGATCACATCGTATGACTCGAACAAACTCTAGACAAGTTGTTGAGTCTAAAGCTCCATTTTTTTTCGCAAAAGTAAAACTCTCTCTTCCTCATTTTTTCCCACAACTTTAGCCTCACTTTTTTGAGCACTCTACAATATTTTACATACCAATTTATGGAAGAAAGACTCCTATTTATAGGTGTAGAATTCTTCCTTGAATTAAATTACAAGAAAGTGGGGTAATAAGTTATGAAATCATGGAGAACATGGGATAATGGATGAATTAGTGTGTCATTAGTGATAAAACATGAGCAGTTACAAAATAGTTATGGTCATTTTGTACATCATGGAGTAGTGGGAGTTGTCACACCCATTTTTTACCCCAGAAGATAGATATACGTGTGTTATAGATTGTGGGTTAAAGAGTTTTTCCAATTGAAGTGACGAACTTGAGTAGGGATTATTTTATTTACAGAGTCAACACTTGGAATTAATTTTTTTTCGGTGTTCCAAGTCACCTTTTATTTGAATCCCGAGTCAAAAGAAGTTCTGATTCTATTTTTATCGGTCTGCAAAAATAAAGTTCGAGTAAAAAATTTTGTTGACCGGGGGGAAGGTGTAAGACATTCCCCGAATCATGTGGTTCTAGCACGGTCGCTTTATTGACTACGACTTGGCTTGAATTAATTTATGACAAACTGTGTTTTTATTTGATTTTCCTGTTTTACCTATCCGCTTTTATTTCTTGATTATTAGAAAAATTAAGAATATTTGAATAACAAGATGTCATAATCACACTACGCAAGCGAATGCGTGATCGAGACGAAATTAATTAATTTAGTCATAACTGCGCTACGCAAACGAATCCGTAGTCATGACAAAGCACTTTATTACTTTTGAAAAAATTACTACATTTGAGAAAAAGTTAATTTGATATTTATTTAAATGTCGACTACCGTGCTATGCAAGCGAAACCGCGGTTATAACAAGGGATTAATTAAATTTAGAATTAATTAAGCTATTGAGATTATTGAATTAATTTAAAGAGGTTAAACATCACGCTACGCAAGCGAGTCCGTGAATAAAGAAAAGGTTAAAGTGCGCCTACTAGTTGCCTAGTGTTTAAATTAATTATTAAAGAGACTAAGTTATAAAGTTATTTAATTGTAAAAATCTGATTGTTAATTGGCGAAAGAAACTATGTGCGTGAAAGTTAGGCCCTAGCTTGTGGTAAATTTGGGCCAACTAGTAAACTAACATATTATTGTTATTAGTGGGCCAACAACTTATTCAAGGGAAACTTACACAAATGTCCCAAATAAATCTCAACTTACCAACCTCTAGCCATTAGTCATAGACTTACCAATACTAGCCAACAAAAATTGAAAAACCAAATAATAGGGTTCTTTCTCTCAAAGAATCACATGCAAAAATCACCTTCCATATTTTTAAGCGTGATTAGCAACATTAGATACAAGACGGAAAGGAAATTTCATGGACGGGGTAGCAAATAAGGTGATGAAATACAAAAATCTATACAATATTCCAAAAATCTAAACAAAAAAGGAACTTTTTCAATGGGTATAGTTGAAATTCATTGAAAATATATAGATAAGTCAATATACAAAATTTGAGGAAGATTGGAGGTAATTTGGACTGGTTTTGTATCAAAATTCGTAATTAAATCGAGTTCAAAAAAGTCTTCTGCGACACATGTATCAAACATGTATCACGCATGTATCACACACACAGGTGTACATGGATATACATGTGATACACAATTGATACATATGTGATACACAAATGATACACAGTGTGATACACATATCATTTTTTTTCATGTTCAGCTTTTACTTCGAATTTTCAATTCAAACCACCTAAAAACTTCACCAAATCATCCCAAAACTGAGATTCAAGCTTCTTAAGTTGTGCCCAATCTATTCTAACAACACCCACTCAAAACAAAGCAAAAATTTGATATTTTTTGCTACAAATAGCTAATTGGCTAAGGTGGCTAATATTAGTAATATTTTATCAATTGGTCAATTTTTGTAATGAGCTACTTATAAATGGACATAGCTGGTAATTTTCCCTTATTCAAAAGAAAATGTGGCTATCAACTTTACTACACTAATACTTAGGCCCAATAGATTTTCTAATTATTCTAGTAACTATACAACCCATTTAACAAT